TCATCCAATCACCTGCTCTGGAGAGCAAACGTTTCACTGATCTGCAACAGTAGTGAAGTAGGAAACATGAAAGGAAAGTCTGCGACATTTGCCCAGAGGTTGGCCCACTTGCTTGAGCTAGACTTTGGATTCTAGACCCTGATGAATCTGTTATAAAAGTCACCCTGAAGCTGGTTGTGGGGGGAGCTCTTCACTCAGCTGAGGAGTAATCTGCACATTTCTGCAGGTCTCACATTTGACATCTGGAGGAAGTTAAAAAAAACAAAACTCATCATTGTAGTAAGTGCTCAGGCATTGAGGAGCTGTGACTTAATTGGGGTCTCTTTCAACTTGCAGCTTGAATAAGTTCAAAGTTTTGCCAGTTTTATTTTTTCTTTCATTACAATTCTCTTTTCTTACCTACCTTTTTCAGGATGCAGTTTAAAGCAATCTTTTTCCAGATAGTATAAAAAATTCCATGGACTGGACTTCTTTAGCCCACTCCATTGATCAAGTGCGTAATTTCAAAGCTGACAGAGCTAAACAAATAAGATTCAAGCAGAGCTAATTTCCAAGTATTGATATTAAACTTCTAATTTGTCAAGAAAACTGAAGGTAATTTTCTGAGTATACGTGTAAGAGGAGTGAATATAAGAATGAATAGCATTGTTCTATATAATTCGTTCCTGTACGCACATAAAATATTTCAGAAGCGTTGTGCTAAATAGGGTATGGAGCTTGATTCTGTGTGTGATATGATCTGTTTACCACATATTTATTCTTGTATCATATTTAGTTTGAGTATAAATAGGGAGTCCAATCTGTATATATGACCTCAGGGGCCTCTCTTCTTGGCTGAACATGGGAGTAATATTTCCCTAGAAAAACTGAAAACTTTTTAATAGTCTGTCCTGCCTAAGTATCTGGTGCACATCAATGGGAGTTTGGCCTACATAGATAATAGTACAGAGATAATAGTACAGTTGAGCTACAAAATAGAGCTCAGAATGTAAAGAATTTGACTTCATTGTCTGCCTACCAGTAAGAAGCCTGCAACATATTTGGCAAATATATACAAACTTCTAGCTTTTTTATTACCTGGTAGTCCTATTATGAACGTATCATAATTTCAGAGGAGGGGGCTTCATTCCCCACTTGTGTAGTCATACTGGGAAAGCTTCAAGAATTTGAGGCTGGAGGGGTTAAACAGGAAAGTGAAGCATAGAATACAACTGGTAGCTGGAAGCCTGCTGCAGCAGAGAAACTATACTATGGGATCTTTTTCTGGAAGCTAGCAGCCCCCATTGCACCCATACCCTTGACAGAAGCCAATACAAACACTTATAGAATGAGGAAAGACATGAAAAAAGTGCTATTTCTTACTGCTGTTGAGTAAACCCATACCTGATTTGTCTTACATTTACAGCAGGGAACGTCATTGACTTCAGTAGAAGTACATCAGTGTAAGTTTGATCAGATTCAACCCCCCACCTAAAATGTATAAGTTAGGGAAGCTTGGGGAATTGGTCCTAATAGCTCTAGCCAGGGGCATTTATTTTAGCATTGATTCTTCATTATTTCTTGAAAAGTCAAGAGATGGTTTAGCTGGGTGGAGAATGAGAAGCAATAGGACTCAGCATCACACTTTCCCAGGAGAACCTACTAGATGCCCCTGCAGAACTGTTTACCCCGCTTGTGATGGGCAAACTATACATTGGCATCTACAAACAGGGTATTGAGCCTTGAATTATCAGTTTTACATAGATAAAACTATTTTTGGCAGGCTCATGTACTCATGAGAATTAACCCATTAGTGTCAAAATGGGGAATAAAAACCACGCAGACAGTTCAGACTTGGGTTTTTTGTCCTGCTTCCAAAACCCTCCAGAGCTTCCCTTCTCTGCCTCAGCCCACCCAGCCTCCCGTGGTGTTGTAGCGCCATTCCCTCTGCTCTACCAGTCCTGACTGCCAGTTTGTCTGCATCCCTCTCAAATATATTTGCACCATCTTGCAAATTACATCCTGCAAAGAAACCCCTTCCTGAATTGATCTTCAAGGCCAACACACCCTCTTCCAAGGCTCCTGTTAAATTCTACAACTTCTCTGGCCCATACAAGAAATCAGTCAATTAAAAGAATGTCTACTGCAATGTTAATTAGTGCAAAATGATTTTTAAACTGTGATGCCATTCACATGTTCTCACTGAATAACGTGTTATCCTGCTAATGTATCCCTTATTCTTTCTCCCCCATCCTACTTTCTACCCCAGCGCAGGGTTATGTCTTAATCTGTTTTGATGCCCAGTTTACAGGTCTGGATTTAGGTAAGCTAGTATTTTTTGCAGGTGCAATACTGGGCCCCTCTTAAAACTTTGGTTGATTATTAGTATAGGGAATTTTAACACAAAACCCATTGTGCTTTGAATTTGAAACATTTAATCTTAACTACATAATTTTAATTTACAATAATTAAAATATTAGTTAATATTCATTGTTCTTACAATTTATTATTGTCAATGATGATGACAAAGATAATAAACCAGGCTTAGTTAATTTAGTAATTGATTATAAGATGGACTATAAAAATCTTTCATCTTTGGGTTATTTAAAGACTTATTCACTAAACAGCCAGCATATATTGAAATTAATGGAAAAACTGCCATTGACTTGGACAGGAAATTGAGTAATGAGGAAAGCAGGTGGCCTGTTGACATACATATGCATATATGAACTGGAAGTGTCTATCAGTTGCCAGTGGAAAAGATTCTACGTCATACTAACCATCAGCATAGTTGGCAACCTTGGTGTCCGTATCTCCCAGAAGGTCAAGTACTTAATAGACAAAGAAAGTGAATAGTGCCCTTGGCCTCTGGCAGTGGTCTTTCCCTCGCTTCCCCCCTTCTCCCTTCTTTCTTCCTGTGAGAACTAAATCCAGCTGTGAGCAAGTGTGAGGAAACGTGCATGCCGCTCGTCACAATACCTCATGCCTGTTTTCTCATCTATAGACTGAGAAAGCTCCCTGTTGTCAATCTGAAACTTTTCATGACAATTTAAACTCACGCAAAAAATCCCCAAGAAATGACGCTGCAAATTCACGAAGTTTACTATTCCTCTTATTTCTTACAAAAATGTTTGAATATCGAAGAACCACAAACCTCTACAATTGTGTAAGAGCTACTATAATATTATAGCGTATTAGCTAAAGATATACTATATCTTTTGCATTTGCAGTATGTAGGCACACAGTCTACTATTGTAAACTTGATCTCATAAACACATTAGGATGCTGGCTGCAGTGTTAGTAAATGAGAGGGTAGGTGAGCACAGAGCTAGTACCCACTGGTGTTAGATGAGGTTGTGTTGCTGAAGGTGCCATCTTCCATGTGATATAAAACACAAAGCCCGCCAGACCACGTGTGATGTAGAACCATTTGTGTGTCTATGCACACGGACACATACCAGAGGCTATGCCAAGAGTAATAAGAGTCCTAGCCAGAATGGTATTATGCTCTAATTATTCTCAGCTGGTAGACAGCATCTGATAGACCATTACCAGCTGTAGCTTACAGGGGGTGGGATTGGTCTGGGCTGCTCTAAACTGCACTTGGATAAAGCTAGCACAGAAATCAGGGAGCAGAACTGGCTGCTGGCACTTTGCCACTACTTCTACACTTCGCTATATTCCAGGGGTTGTCAACCGGGGGTGTCAGCCAAGGGTATGCATACCCCTAGGGGTACTTGGAAAGATCCTAGGGGCTGGGTGGGTTCCAGAGCGCCACCACCCACCACCCTACCACCCCGTGCTGCCACCTCCCAGGAGCAGGGCCGGGGAAGGGCAGCAGTGCCCCTCTGCGGACCTCACAGGCACCACCCAGCCAGCTCGATGCCAAGGGGAGAGCGGGGGGAAGGGATCTTGCATGCAGCCGCTGCTGCCACCATCCACCACCCCGTGCCGCCGCAGCCCACTGCCCCGCACCCCACTGCACGCTGTTTTCCCACAGCTGGTCACACATGTGGCTCCATGGGCTGCTGACAGGTGGTGCATGATTGGCTAGGCACAAGGCCTGTCAGCAGCCACACGTGTGACCAGCTGCGGGAAAGCGGCATGTGGCAGCAGCACAGGTGGTGGGTGGCGGCACCCGCATGCAAGCCCCCCTCCACCATTCGGTGTCTGGCTGCCACCACCAGATGGAGTACACTTCTAAAAAAAGGTTGAAACCCCTGCTGTACTCCATGAGGGAGGCTGAGCTCAAGAGTGAATCTGGGCCTTAGCGAGTGCACAGAACTTTTCACAAGACTGCAGTTGTCCACCATTGTCGGGCTTGAATTTTGCACACAAGACCTAACTTTTCTCTCTCACTTTAATTGGATATGGTATCCATCACTTCCTGAAATAAACTGTTGTATACTATTGTTTTTGTCCACTCAAAGTGTGCTGCACTTCCAGAGTGGCGGGTGGCAGATGACAGAACAAGGAGTAATCGTCTCAAGTGGCATCAAAGGAAGTTTAGGTTAGATGTTAAGAAAAATTTTCTCACTAGAAGGGCAGTAAAACACTGGAACAGGCCACCCAGTGAGGTTGTGGAATGCTCTTCCTTGGAAGTTTTTAAAGACCCGGCTAGACAAAGCCTTGGCTGCACTGGTGGCATGTAGGGGATGCATGCGGGTGCGCGTGCACCACCTGAGATTGGCCACGCACTTCCGGTTTCACCCTGCACTACTGTTGTCACCGCTGGCTCGGTGATTGGCCGCTGCTGGACCCCGCTACCCGATTGGCTGCTGGAGGACCCTCCCTCTGTCAGTGATCTGGTGCCCCGTCCCAGACTCAGGAGGTACCAGTCGCCCATGCTGGGGATGATCTAGTTGGGGACGGTCCTTCGTTGAGCAGGGGGTTGGACTAGATGACCTCCTGAGGTCCCTTCCAACCCTCGTTTTCTATAATTCTATGAAATGACCTTATTTGTAGTTCACATGTGCACAAATAAAGTGGCTTAGGCTAAATCATACCATATACATGCAGTATGTTCTTATTTTATATCTTTTTTACTTGATGTATGTTTGCTGTGGATCAACGGACCTCAAACTGTGGCTTGTGAAGCCCATGCACTTGGATCAAGCGCACGGTTCTGTCTCAATAAAGGAGCATCTTTAAGTCTTCAAGCAATGATAAGTTGAATTGCTTGTAGCCCACTCCAGGACCTTTTAAGCGTTCTGGCAGAATATTTTCCTAACTGAAATGAAAAGAAAACAAGCATCAATCTGCATCTGCAGGAGTACTTTGTGGCTCTTGAGCACTTGTCTGTTATGACTCTTTTTGTCATAAATGTAACCAGGATTCAATCTGCTGATGCTAAAAAAGGTAGAGATCCTTCCACATAAGTGGACACAATGAATTAGGTGCTGACTTGGAACGATGAGAGAAGAGGTAGGCTGCAAACAAGACAAGTAGGGCTGGTTCGAATAAAAGCCAAGTCCTACTTCCAAGGAGAAGATTCAAACTGCAGGGGCAAGAGAATCTGTGGGGTGCCAGGATGTCATCAGGTTAATGCAATATGAACATAAATATTCCTGTTTTATACTCTTCTTGGTTTGTCATGGAAGCAAGCAATCTACTGCAGAGAAGATGGGGAAGGGGGCATGTACTAGTCTGTGGGAAGACCTCAGTCTTAAGGAGCAGTACACAATGTGAGGAGGCATAATAATTGATCTGGATTCATTGATTTGAGTTTTACTGGCCCCCAGGCTCCGATTGAAAGGTTCCAGGGTTTGAATTAGGGCATTTCACCGGGGTCTCTTTCAACTTGCCCTCTGAATACATTTGAAGTTTCTCCAGTTTTATTTGTTCTTTCATTGCAACTCTCTTTTCTTACCTACCTTTTTCAGGATACAGCTTAAAGCCATCTTTTTCCAGATAATATCAACAATGCCATGTTCCAGCTTTTCTTCCAGATAGTATAAATAATTCCAGTTCAAGGCAGTCCTACAGTCAAAGGTATGAATTACAGCACTGGGTCAGGAGAACTCAGAGTATTGTAAAATGTTATTTTTTTCGTCGTATGGTTTAATTTTCATCAGAGAGTTTCTAATAGCTTTCTAACATCTTCTGGTTACTCCCATGCCCTAAATTGATATAGGCAAATGCTTTATCAGGTGCTGAGAGACGGACAGCTCTTCCTCTCTGAGGCTGCTAGCGTAAATCCCTGGGTGAAGCAGAGACTGCGGTTTGTTTTCCTTACCAGGCGAGCTTAAAACGTGTCAGTCCTCAGGTCACCAGCTCTCCTTCCCCCTCTGGCACTGATTCCCGCCTGTGCCGAATGAAAGGCACCGGGTAATGTCCTACACGCCACGCAGCTCCGTTCAAAACCGAAATCCCTCTTTGGCTCCGCTCCAGGTTGAAACCCCCGGGGCCCGAAGCCGAGTGCATCCTGCTTGCACCCGCCTGCGACTCCCATGTGCACGCAGCGGGCAGCCTGCTCATTCCGGCAGCGAGCGGGGCGGCCCCCCGGGCGGCGGGCTTGTTGTGCACGGCGGCCCGACCTGCGGGCGGCGGCGGCGGGGCTCGGGGTGCGTGTTGACAGGCAGGACCGCCTGAGTCAGCAGATCCTGCTCTGCCGAGCTCCAGCCAATGCAGAGCCCATCCAGCCGGCTCGGGGGCTTGGGAGCCGCAGCAGCCGGCACGCAGACATGCGAGGCGGCCCTGCCCGGCGCTGATGGCAAGATGGGGTCCGGCGCCAGGGATCCCTCGGCTTTCCCCGCGAGCCAGCCCCGGGAGGGCTCCGCCGAGGCACCTGTCATGTAGTCTCCCTTGAACCCCGGCAGCAGCCTCATGGATTGAGGGGGCTTCTTGGTTGCTTTTTTTAATTTTTTATTTTTTATTTTGATTTTGGGGGCTGTTTGTTTTTTAATTTTATTTCCCATGTAGATCTGTTCGGGGGTTGTTGTTTTGGGTTTTTTTGGAAGATGAAATGCTTTTCTCGTTACCTGCCTTACATCTTCAGACCTCCGAACACCATCCTCTCCTCCAGCTGCCACACGGAAGGTACCGAGCAGCCGGGCGGGGCCGAGCGGGCGGGAGCCTGACCCGGCCCTGCGGGCAGGGGCGGCCGCGGGCGGCGGGGCGAGCGGCGCGGCGCGGCGCGGCGCGGCGCGAGGAGGC